AATTATCCTTAGATGAAGGAACTTCTTTCTTCTCTAAGTTCAAAAGCTTTCTAGCTTCAAGAGATGTTGGTAGGAAGATGAAAGCGAAAATAACGATAATCAAAACAAGGCTTAATCGAGTCATTTTCGAATGCAAAGAGAAAGAATAAAGATGCTATATTTTCTATGCCTTTTCTTATAGAAGTGAAAATCAGAAATGAGGCCTCGAATGACATATTGGTTAGATTTAGAGGTATATATATAAGAACGGAGAAACCGGACCGGCTTAGTCAGCATGTTTGGAATGAATCAATGAATATTTTGGTATTTTTCTACATGCACTGTTGTCTAAGATTCATGGAAATGGGGTTAGGTACAAATTTGTAGACATATATTTTGTCCCAAATATATATATATGATAATAATAAAGTAACAATGAAGTAAAGAAAGAAAATTTTAATTATGTTAGTTTGATTCCAGCTGTCAAAATGTTTTTTCTTTAAAAAATTTTTGACAAACATGCGATTTGGTAATCCAAAAGTCATCGGATAATTTTTTTTTATTTTTCAAAAACACAACCCCAAAAATGCACAAAAATTTTTAAAAAATATGAGATTTTGATCTCTTTCAATAGAACTAAATCGTATAAACAATAAAGTCAAAAACAAAATTCAATTCTAACAACTTGATTCCAGTTGCTAGAATGTTTTCCTTTTGAAAAATTTTGACAAACATGAGATCCAATGACTCAAAAGTCACCGGACAATCTTTTTTAACCATAAAAACGCCCTAAAAATCCATAAAAAAAAAAATTTGAGGTTTTGATCTCTTTCAATAAAGCTAAATTGTATAAAGCAAACATAATAAGGAAACCTAAGTGTTTGAAAGACACCCATAAAAAAAAAGAGTTTTTTTCAACCCCAAACTAAACCCACTATTAATTAAGCAATAGGTCTTTGGTAGATCTCAATGGTGAAAAGACAGATAATAGAAAGAAGAACAATATACTAAAATTTTAGGTCCATAGATAGTGGCAAGGTGGTTTTTTGGTGGTCTGAAGTTTTGAATCAAAATTTTAATCTAGGGTCCTCTAGAGGGTTTTTGAAAAATTCCAATGGTGGAAATCAAGTAAAAAGTGAAAGAAAGATTCAGTAAAATTTTGGTGGTCATCGGAGGTGACAATACCAGTAGATCGAGTTTTTATGGTAAAATAGAACTTTTTGAGAAAATCAAAGCTGTTAGATCGAAAAAAAAAAGGTAGAAAAGAGATTTATGGTATTTCAGGGTAAGGAGAACCAATCGATCAGTGGTGATGTTAGGTGATTCCATAGAAAAACTAGGCATAAAATTATGCAAGAGCGTCACAATCATGAAAAGAAGGATGGACCTGTTAGGTAAAAACCCTTTAATCCAATCATACCAGTAGAAGCGAAATTAAATAATCAATCAATCACATAAAAGATAACAATTTAATGTAGTTTTGGTCCAATCAACCTACGTTCATGGATGAGAAAAAAGATCTACTAGTTATGGAGAATTACAAATATATAATCATATCAGCCATATCAATTAATACTCATATATCTTCTTAATCTCCTCTAGTCTTATGGAGTATTTTCAACCCAAACATACATATACCCATGTGCACCCATATACCATACTTATGTGGACCCTCTCAGTCTCTTCTAATCTACTCACAAACAAACAAATATACACACACACAAGACATAAATCTCTAGTAGTTTTATGAGGTGTATCTTATAAAATTCTACAACTCTTTTATATATTTTTTCTATACCTAACCCTATAGAGACTTTATATACTTATGAGCATATAAACTTGCCTATTAAAAATATTTTTCCTTTTAAAATTTTTCTTCTATAAGTTAAATTTGCTTATTAAGAATCTCTTTTTTCTTAAAATTCTTTTTCTACAAGTCTTCTTATCCATCAAGTAATATTTAACCAATCCTAAATAAATCTTTTTATGAGATTTGAGCCACTATTCCTAATAATATCCACCTTAACTCAAATTCTATTAAATCATCTATCTTCATACTAGACATATTTAGCTCCACTTGTAATGAAAGTTTCATAATCATTTTCCCTTATACGTATTCACGCTTCACGCAAACTAATCCTCAATCCTCAAAACATGAATTTTAACTCTTCTCTTAAATCAAGCTCCTCTAAGCTTACCTTTTCTCATGCCTCTTCCTTTATTTTGATACCACTTGTTAGGGATCATTACAGCTCTGATACCATTTATTAAGCCAAATAGCCCTAATCTAATCATATCAGTAGAAGTGAAATCAAATAATTAATTAAACACACAATTATCAATAATTTAACATGGTTCAGTCTAATTGAACTCCATCCATGAATGAGAAAAAAAATTCACTAGTTATAGAGAATTACAAACATACAATCATATCAGCCACATCAATTAATACCCATAAACCATATCAATATCTTGTAGTCTTAAAGTATTTTCAACTGAAACATATATATAACTATATGCACACATGCACCATACCTATGTGGATCCTCTAAGTCTCTATTAATCCACTCACAAACATACAAATATATACACACATAAGACATAAATCTCCAGTAATCTTTTGGGTTTCCATCTCATAAAACCCTATGTCTCTTATATCTTTTTCTTATGCCTAATCTTATAAAAACGTCACCTATTTATAAGCATATAATTTTGCTTATTAAGAATTCATTTCTTCTTAAATTTTTTTTTTGCAAGTCACACTTATCTATTAAAAATCTATTTTTTCTCATAATTATTCTTCTATAAGTTTTTTTTTCCATCAAACAATATCTAATCAATCATAAATAAATCTTTTATGAGATTTGAGTTATTATTTTAAATAGAACCAAGTGTCTTCCATTGATATATGCTTGGGTTACGAGGCAAATTAAGAGAAAGAAAAGAACAATTAAGTTTGATGAATCATAGTGTTGATTGTTCATTATTTAATACTAATACATTACACATGTTTTGTTTGTCAAAGGCTATTTTGATGGTAGCTCAATTTCATCATGATTTGGAAATTTTAAAATATGACAATGATAATCCAGGGCCCTCTGTCTTCAATTTTCATCTAGTTATTATCTCAATTGGACTCAAAGCAAGCTTAGTTGAACTTGAAATTGGATGGAGTATCTGTTGGATCACTTGAATGGAATTTTTGTTTCTGCGGTGTTTGATTGACTTGTCCTTTTCATGACTAGACATCATTGCAGTGGAAAATCTGCACAAATATTTCTACAATGTCTGAAAATTTGTCCCGTGTTCACACTTCTATCTTGCACAACAATAACAAAAGTCTAATTTGAAAGGACCCTTACCTGATAGTCTTCTTTCCAAATGCAAGAAAAAGAGTGGGACATGAGGGACAATTAAGTGATACCACTAACAAATTGGAATAAAGTTTAGGACGGCTATTTATATAGGGTTAGTGGAGTTTTTTTTTTTTTAAATTTTTTTTAATTTCAAAATAGGTTTATATAATTGTCATGTATTCATTTAATAATTAATAATTTAATTTATTTTTTATAAATATACTCAAATAGACACACGCTAACCAATTAAACCTATTTTTTAAAGCATGTTTCAAAATTTTATTACCAGTGAATTGGATCATTATTATCAAAACATTATCATTACTATATATAAAAGTACATAAAAACTCTAAAAATGCAAAATGTGAGTTATATTTATATACACATCACACAAATGATAATGTATTAAATTAATTATACATTAGTAATTGTGACCTTGACTCTTGTTGATGCTTTTCTCTTGGTTTTGAGTCAAGATTGGAGCTTAATGGAATACCCACTTGCAAGATGGAGATGGTAAGAGGGGACCATGAATTGATACCACTAAAAAATTAGAATAAAGTCTATGATCATTATTTTTATCCATTCGGTGGAGTTTTATAATTTTATAAATAAATTCATATGATTGACTTTTTATAAAATAAGTTACAATTTAAAGACAAAAGCATGGGTTATAAGCATTATAATTTAAAATTTATACTTATTAAATATAAATGATTATATAAATTAATTAAATTAAATTTCAAATAATTATTTTTATATTTGAGATTTTCAAAATTTGATTCCTTATCACTAAAATTAATAGTCCAATACTCTATTAATAAATTACATAATTATTGGTGTATAATAATTAATTCAGACTTTATCATATAATAAACTGCAAATTCATTACTATATATAATTGTTATATTTTCATTATTAATTAAATATATTGCATTCTCTCTTGAAAATAAGTAAGGTGAAATTATGGTTTGGTTCCCCATACAATTTTTAACTTGACCTACTGTAAAATTTGTAATTTGATATGGTAACGTTATTAATTCTTACCTCATTCATTATTAACTTAATTCTTTCTATTTTAATTTTGAATCAATCAAATAGATACATAGACAAAAATTATAGTGTTAATAATTTTCTTTCTATATTTTAACAACAGAAAAATTTTTTTAAGAAAGTTAAATAACTATAATATTTATTACAAAATTGATTTCGCATTTAACTTTTCTTACTCCCTAAAGGTAAGTAAACATTGTAATAAAGACTATAACCATGATTTCTTTAATTAAGGAGGTCAGGCCTTTGTCCGCCCCTAGATTCGTCCCTATCAAACAAAATACAAAATATATTTTTGTTGACCTCTGTCAATCATCCCGACAAACCAACATGGTTTTCCAGTTGTGAATACAATGTATCCCATGCTTAGTCCGAACACCATTCCACATCCATAACCCTTCAGCACTGCAAATTTCCAACTGAATGCTCTTGTTTTCAGTGTTGGCTTCAATTTGACATCATTACTGCAACTCTTTGACAGTGGGAATCCACATAAACCCAAATTCCCATTGTAAGAATCATTTTCAAAAGTATCAAATTGATTGCCTTGAGGAATAGGTCCGACAAGATAATTATGAGAAAGGTTTAGCATCTCTAAAAATACAAGATTTTTTAGCTGTACTGGAATTTTTCCTTTTTGCTTATTCGATGAGAGATCCAATGATTCAAGCTCTGACAAATCGCCAAAGATGATGGGATAGGACCTGTTAAACTATTGTGAGAGAGGTTGAGGACTACTAGTGAATGAAGTTCACCAAGTGCCTTAGGAATTTCCCCCATGAATTGATTGCTCGAAAAGTCGATTACCGTCCAAGTGGTTAACATTTCCTGAAATTCTGTTTCCAACCCTTTTGCTGTAAAAGATACACTTTGAATATAATACGCAATTCCATCAGCCGATGCATCGATCATGTACTCTGGCTTAACTTTCTTTTCATACCCTTCCCTTATGGCATGCAAATTTTCAAAAAATTTCATCGGTAAGTATCCACTGAAGTGATTGTGAGAAAGATCAATGACACGTAAATGAGTGAAGGAAGATGTAACTTTGGAGTTATCTAGACCATAAAATCTATTCGATCTCAAAACAAGAACCTGTAGCTGATCCAAGTTTCCTAACCAATTTGGAAAAGTGTCACTTAAATTGTTCTTTCCACATCAAGAAGTTTCAAGTCTTTGCAATTACCCAAAGATTGTGGTAGTGGTCCTTCTAATTGGTTGTTGTTGATCTCAAAACCTCTCAAAGGACAACCTTTAGCAAAATTTTCAGGTAATTTACCATGAAAATTATTCTTTTGTTGATCAATGTATAAGAGAGAGCTCAAGTTTCCAATACATTTTGGAATAGTTCCACCCAAATTATTATTAAACAACTTGAGACCTTGAAGGGAACTCAAGTTGCAAATTGAGGAAGGCATGTCTTTAACTAAATTGTTCTCTGAAACACATAATCAATGCAATGAAAGTGGTGCATTTGGAAAGCGTACTGGGAGAAAATAAGGAATAAATCTAGGTTAGGAGTTTGAAGATTATATGAAATTAAAAAAAATGCAAATAAACTATGTTTGTGATGTAACGCATGCAAATAAAATGCATATGTCAACCATTTAGCCCACAAAATCTTGCCATGTCTAAGTGCGTGGCTGCACTATTAACCGGACAACCATAAGTTGAATTAGAAATTCTATTGGTACGTACGTAACAATATAGGAGCACACTATGAAAAAAGTAATCACTCCATCTGTCTCTCTCCGATTCCCCCAAATTCTTTGTCTCTATATGACTTTCATAAAAACTAAAAGAAAGAGTTTTGAGTTTATTGTATTTTATATTAAAATTTTAATTTTTTTATAGTCAGAATATATATGATTTTAATTTCAAAAGTAAAAAACAAAAAATCATGAAAAATGATTTCCAAATATATAATATAACATAAACATAAGTAAGAAATTTTTTCGATGTTCAAAAAGAAAAAGAAAAGAAAGACGGCGTTAGGTCATAAAAAAAAAACTTGTATAAAAAAATGAAAACACCAACAGTTATGTGATCCTATGGTAGAATATATTGAGCCTGAAGTAATAAACATAATAATGCAGAAGCAATTTATCGCAATTAACTCATAGTAATAAATAACAAACAATAAGCAATAACGTAGAAAAAATAAAGCATATTAAGATTTACATGGAAAACCCTCCAATATAGAAAAAAAAACCACAGACCACTAAAAAATTCTCCACTATCAACTAATGGATGTACAAAGTTCTTCTCTAGCTAAAACTAGAACTAATCAACACTTAGAGAGACAATTGGAGAAATCTCACCAAATAGATGACTCAACAAATATATTCTGAATTTGTTTCTGGAGAGCTTCAAACCCGATCTTCACCGTTTAGAATGTGGAACTCTGAATCATAAATCTACAGATAAAGTTTTAGCTCAATCAGATCACGGATCAACTTTCGTTCAACCAACTCTCCATTCTCTTTTTTCTTTCTATTTTGCTTGGCTTTTCTTCTTTCTCTTCTTGGTTTGCGACACCACCTTAAAACAGCCCCACCTCTTTTTATTAAGTAGCTAGAGCTCTGTGTAAAAAGAAAGACTAAGGCCCATTGCCTTTGATTGGTCCAAAACCAATTACATGGGGCTGAATCCCATTTTCCTAACAATCTTCCCTTCAAACCCCATTAGGAGGAGATTCATCACCATAGTAGTTTTATTTGGAACTTACCTTGGCTAAGGAACTCATTTTGATCAAGTTTTTGACCAAGTTATTGTAAAGCTCAAGCTTCTCTCTGAAAAGTATCTTAGTCAACATATTAGCTACATTCTCATCAGTATGAACTTTTTTTAATAGCATCTATTGTTCCTTAATCATTAAACATAACCAATGATATCTAACATCAATGTACTTCATTCTAGCATGGTACATAGCATTCTCACTCAAATCTAAAGCACTCTGGCTATCACAAAATATCATATACTCTTTCTGATTCAACTTTAATTCATGAAGAAAACATTTCATTCAAAGCATTTCTTTACCTGCTTTGGTTGCTGCAATAAACTCAGTCTCTGTAGTTGACAAAGTAACACACCTTGGCAACTTAGACTACTAAAACACAGCTTTTTCTGCAAAAGTGAACAAATAACCTAAAATAGATTTTCTACTATCAAGATCACCTATCATGTCAGTATCAGTATATCTTTCTAGAACTGGTTGTGAAACTCCATAACTCAAGTACATTTTTGAGGTACCCTTAAAAAATCTAAAAATTCATTTCACTGCTTCTTAATGAACTTTTTTTAGATTAGAAAGAAATCTACTCATTACACCAATTGCATGAGTAATGTTAGGCTGTGTACAAATCATAAGATACATTAAAGAACCGATTATAGAAAAATAAGAAATACTAGAAATAGTTAGTTGCTCTTCTTTAGACATCGAACAAGATTTTTTACTCAGATGAAAATGGTTGGCAAGTAGACTGCTAACTGATTTAGCATGTAGCATGTTGAATCTACTAAACACCCATTCAATATACTTTTTCTATGACAACTACAGCTTTTTAGCTCTCCTATCTCGAATAATGTCCATACCGATAATCTACTTTGCTAGACCTAAACACTTCATGTCAAACGACTTAGACAATTGTTCTTTCAACCTGCAAACCATACCAGCATCTTGACTTATAATCAACATATTATCAACATATAATAAGAGAATAATAAAGTTACCATCAAAAAATTTTTAACATACACATAAAGATCTGCTACCATTCTTTTATAGCTATGACTCACAATAAAAGAATCAAATTTTTTGTACCACTATCGCAAAGCTTGTTTCAAGCTATACAAGTTTTTCTTTAATTTACAAACTAAGTGCTCTTTCCCTTTCACTTCAAAACCCTTAGGTTGATTTATATAAATGTTCTCTTGCAAGTCACCATGCAAGAATGTAGTTTTAACATCAAGTTGCTCAAGCTCAAGATCTAAACTAGTTGTTAATCTCAGTATCACTCGAATGGAACTCATCTTCATAATTGGAGCAAAGATCTTATCAAAATTGATACCTGATTTTTAAGAAAAACCTTTCACCACTAATCGAGCTTTATAACTCACTAGCTTGTCACTATCCTTTTTCAACTTCAATACCCATTTATTTTTCAACAGCCTCTTCCCTTTTAAAAGTTTAACAAGATCATAAGTACCATTTTTTTATAATGACTCAATCTCTTCTTTCATTGCTTTTAATCAATGCTTTCTATCTGGAGTAGTTTGCACATCTTGAAAGCGCTCTAGCTCTCCTTCACTAGTAATTAAAATAAAATATAAACTTGGATACCTGATAGATGGCCTGTGCTCTCTAGTAGACCTTCTAGGCTGAAACTCTATACCACCTGATGCCAAAGGTAGCTCTCTCTGCTCAACACTCTTAGGTAGAGATGATTGCTCTTTCTGCTCAAAATTGATTGCATCTGGCTCATCACTAATTATGGCTGGCTCATTCATATCCCCAAGTTCTGTTTTTTACTCATTTTTATAATTTGTGGCTTTTTTCTATGGAACCCCTATCAGTGTTGAAATATCATACTTAACAGTAACCCATGTAATTTTTTCATTTTTTTCAAGGTTTACTATTTTTTTTATTATGAAAGACCGCATCTCTGCTTCTGACTGTCTTTCTCTTCATTGGATCTTATACCCTATAACTAAAATTTTCATCATCATATCCCATAAACACACACTGTGTAGCTTTATTGTTGAGCTTTGACCTTTGCTCTTTTGACGCATTCATGAATGCTTTATACTCGAAAACTTTTAAATGAGAATATTAAGCATTTTTTTCTATCCATACTCTTTTTGGAATGTCAAAGCCCAAAAAAACTGATGGTGATCTATTAAACAAATAATAAGTTGTATTGACTGTTTCATCCTAGAATGGCTTTGGTAATTTTATCATCCTCAACATGCATTTGAATTTTTACATAATGGTACGGTTCACCTTTTTAGCTACACCATTATGTTACGGTGTTTCAAGTTCTGTCATCTCATGTTTGATCCCATGCTTTGAACAGTACTTTTTAAAGTCTTTGGATGTGTAGTCTTAACCATTATTAGTCCGAATACACTTCAAAGGTAACCTATCATCATTTTCACCATGGCATGAAATTTTTAAAAATATTGCAATACTTGACTTTTGTTTTTCAATATATACACCCAAGTTTTACATGAAGCATCATTAATAAAAGTAACAAAATACCTTCTACCACTTAATGGCTCAACCTTAATGGGATCACATATGTCAAAATAAAGCAATTCCAATCTATTTTCTTTTTTCTGAGAACTCTTATGAAAAGAAACTCTACGATGTTTACCAAATAAACAATAATCATATGAATCGAGAGATATACCTTTGGTCAAGGGAATGAGAGACTGTCTTGCCAAAACTTGTAACTCTTTCTCAATCATGTGTGCCAGCCTCTTGTGCCACAAGTTTGCTGAAGCATCATCCTCAATGGTATTTACCTAGTTGCCATTCAATTGCATTCATATCTTATACATTGTGCAGCATAATTTTTCTCTTACAACTATCATAGATTTTTTGAAAAGCTTTCACTGTCTATTCTTTTGTTGACTCTTATATCCCTCCTTATCAAGAACATTAATAGCAAGCAAGTTCATTCTCATATCTGAAATGTGTTTGACATCCTTCAAAGTTAATATGTAGCCTGTACTAGTTTGTACAATAATATCACCAATCCTAATAATCTACAACATACTCTTGTTTCTCATCTTGGTGTAACCAAAGTCTCCTACTTTATAAATTGTAAATAATTCTCTCTTAGAAACACAATGATATACAGCTCAATGTCAACTATCCACTTAATGCTGAGATCACTAATATGATTACAATTACCATGTGTACAAATCAAAGTAACTGAATCACTATCTGAATTTACTTCTGTAACATTACCATTATCTGAACTCTTGCCTTTCTCATCTTTTTGCTCTTGTTTCAAGATTTTATAGTGTCATTTTATATAACTTACTTTACCACAATGAAAATACTTTACTTTATCTTTAGACTTGGATTTGTGTTTAGACTTACCATGATTTTTTGAGTTTTAACCTCTGCCAATGTTTCTACCCTTGTTCTCTAAGACCAGAACTTGATTCCCAAGGTCTACATATTTTTGACTTATTTTTTCATTAAGCGTACTATTCTTTACTATCTCCAATGTCATTTTGTAATTAGAGCTGAATTAATAATAGTCACAACTAGAGTATTCTAGCTGTCTAGCAATGAACCTAAAAGAAATAATACCTTTATTTCATCATCTATTTTAAGCTCTATAGTAGTCATCTAATTAAATATATCTTGAAAATCACTCAAGTGCTCTGTAATAGATCGTCCATCTTTTCACTATAAAGTTATAAGCTTTTTAACATACATAACTTTATTCATACTTGTTTTTCTCTCATACAATACTATCAATTTTTCTTAAACAATGTGGACATTTGCCTTCTACACTACATGATGAAATACGCTGATATCAATCCATTTTTTGATTATAGCCAGCATCTTTCTGCCTAACTTCCTTTAGCTTTCATATTTCATATCTGTTGGTTTAGCCGAATCACCTAATACTGGCTTATATAAATCTTTGCAGTATAAATGATTTTTCATCATAGGCTTCCTAAATGAATAATTTGATGCTGTCAATTTTATTATGGAACCTGTATCATCCTTCATGATCTCAAATATAATTTACTTCTGTTTTGAGCTACTTTTGTATCGTTATCTCAAAAATAATTTTGCTCTAATACCACTTGTTGGACTTGAAACAATAAACACAATAACACAGAAGTAATATATTACAATAAACCTACAACAATAAACAACAATTAACAATCACCAACATAGAAAAAATAAAATATACCAAAGATTTACATGAAAAACCTTTCAGTATAGAGGAAAAAATCACGAACCACTAAAAAAACTCCACTATCAAATAATGGTTATACAAAGTTTTTTTTAGTTAAACTAGAGCTAATCAACAACTAGAGAGATAATTGGAGAAATCTTACTAAATAAGTGACTCAACAAATATACAATGGATTTGTTCTTAGAGAGTTTCAAACCCGATCTTTACTTCATAATGTATAACTCTGAATCATAAACTTATTGATAAAATTTCAGCTTAATCGGACCACATATCAACTTTCATTCAACCAACTTTCCCTTCTCATTTTTTTCTCTATTTTTTTTGTTTTTTTTTTGTTTGCGACAGCACCTTAAAACAGCTCCACTTTTTTTTATTAAGCAACTAGAGCTTTGTGTAAAAAGAAAAACCAAGGCCCATGGCCTTTGATTGGTCCAAAACTAATTACATGAGGCTGGACCCCATTTTTCTAACAAAATATTATTAGGATTGACTCAAAATTCTATAAGAAATGTATTTGAGACTCATTTTTAGATTGATTAGACATTGTTAGATGGACAAAAAGATTTGTAGGAGAAAAAATTTAAGTAGAAAGGGATTATTGATAACCAAATTTGTATGTTTATAAATAATGAGAGCCTTTATAAGATTAGGTATGAGAAAAATATGTAAAAAAGTTTAGAGTTTTATTTGATTAACACCCTATAAGAATAGAGTAGATTGAGATGATCTTTATGGATGTACTTGTTTGAGTTGAAAATACTTCATAAGATTAAAGAAAAATAAAAGCATCCATATAGGTATAGTATGCCACATGGGTATACAATTGTTTGAGTTGAAAATACTTCATAGAATTATAAGAAAATGAAAGCATCCATGAATATAGATTATGAATGTTGATTGATATGATTGTATATTTGTAATTTTCTACAACTAATAGATCTTTTCTCTCATTCATGGACACACCAAATAATTGGTATTAAAGCAAAGGTTTGAGGCATAAAAAGCAGCAAGCCTAGAAGAGCTTGATTTAAGAGAAGAGTTTGAGTTTATATTTTGATAGATTGATTTGCAAGAAGTGTGAAAATACACAAAGAAGATGATTAAAAGAATTCCATTGTGGTTAGAGTCAAGTATGTCTAGCATGAAGATTAATGATTTGATAAAATTTGAGTTAATGTGGATATTGTTGTGATTGACTTGAATCCCATAAAAGATTTATTTGAGATTTTTTTTTAGATTGATTAGATATTATTTGATGAATAAAAAGACTTGTAAAAGAAAAATTTTAAGTGAAAATGAATTCCTGATAAGTAAATTTATATGCTTATAAGTAATGTCAACTTCTATAAGATTAAATATGAGAAAAAAATGTAAGAGACTTGCAGTGTTTTATTGGGTAGACATTCTATCGGATTAGAGGAGATTGAGAAGGTCTTTATGGATATATATGTTTAAATATTTGTAAGTGGATTAAAAGAGATTAAGATGATCCATATAAACATGTATGCACATATGTATGTATTTGTTAGATTGAGAATACTCCATGGGTAGAACTATGTTCAAAGCAGAAGTGGATGGGATCTAATAATTAAGATTAAATTTTTGACAAATTCAATTACCAAAAAAAAAAAAAAAAGCTTACCGGTCAAGTTGCTCCTGTCGATATCCAATACCTCAAGTGAAGTCAAATTGGCGACTTCTATGGGCACAGTCCCCTTCAATTGATTATTAGCTAGGTATATACATTCTAACTTTTTATATTTGAACAAACTTGTTGGAATTCTTCTAGAAATTTGACTCCCACTCAAATCAAGCCATCGTAAATTAGGAAGGCGATCAAATATATCCGATGAGAGATGACCTACTGAGAGCTTGTTGAATCTAAGTTCAATTACTTGCAATGAAGAAATGTTGAAGAGTGATGAAGGAATGGAACCTGAAAGCTTATCATTATTATCATAGACGTCTTTTAAAAAAATTATTAAAAATTAGAATATATGAAACATAAAAAAAAGAAGGAAATGTAAGTCTTTAAAAAAGGTTAATGTAAAAGTGAGAGAGTACTACATACTTTCAAATATAAAAAGGCTGAAAATTTCAGATAAAATGACCAAATGTATAAGACATTTAGTTTGATATATATAAAATTACGACATGAAATTGAAATTAAGACAAAAAATGTAAAGATGATGTTAATAAATATAAATTTTCAATTAATCACGTATATAATCTTATGTGATGTTCACTATATATCTTAGGCGCACCAAAATATACCTTGAGCTTACCTTCAAATTTGTTCTGGTCGAGGCACAAATGTTTAAGCCAAGTAAAATTCCCAATTTCTGAAGGCATATTCCCCACCAATTGATTAGAAGACAAGTATGGATATTCTAACTCTTTGCACTTGAATAAACTTGTTGGAATTCTTCCAGAAAGTTGACTCCCAATCATATTAAGATATAGTAATCGAGGAAGGTGATCAAACATATCTGGTAAGAGATGACATGAGAGCTTGTTTAATCCGAGTGAAATTGCTTGCAACGAAGAAAGATTAAAGATTGAGGAAGGAATGAAACCTGTTATAAGGTAAGTTTCTTGTTAGTATTTCAGAGATGTCCTTAAAAAAAAAAGAACAGACACATGTTCACTGTACCTTCAGGTTGTTCCCGTAGAGAGACAATTTGTTGAGCATAGTCAAATTTCCGATCTCTATGGGCAAACTTCCCTCCAAAGAATTGTTATGCAAGGATAAATACACCAATTCTTTGCATTTGAATAAACTATTTGGAATTCTACCGGAAATCTGGTTCCATGTCAAACTTAGTGCTCGTAATTTAGGAAGGTGATCAAATATTCCCGACGACAGATGACCTGTAATGAAATTATTAGTTCTAAAATCAACATTCTGCAATGAATAAAGACATTAAAAATTGAGAAAGGTATGCAATTGCAACCTGAAATGTAATTATTATGCAAAATTACCCATTTCAAGTTTGAAAGATTTCCAACTGCTGCAGGAATCGGCCCTTTCAAATTATTGTTATGCAAGGACAACGTCTTTAGTTTTGACAAATTGCCCAGGGTAGATGGGATAAAACCTTTGAAGTTGTTATCATCAAAATACAACCTCTGGAGTTGAGTGAAGGAACCAAACCATGATGGGATTTCCCCACTGAAGCTATTGTTACCAAAGTTCAAATATTTCAACCTACGCAAATTAGCTAACTCAATGGGCAACGAGCTTTGGAAACTATTATTGTGAATGTCGAGCCAAGCAAGGAAAGAAAGATTTCTAACAACGATGTAAGTGTTATATAGCGTAGAGTTTTAATAAAATGATTTTCTTTTTGTTGAATAAAGTTTTAAAAAAGTTGTAGTACTCACTTTTTATAGTAAGTAGGTTTTTTTTGTTTTCTGTATTTTGCAAGCAACTAATGAGAGGATAGGGATAGAAACTAACCATACAAAGTAGAAAAAGACAAGACGTGGAAGCTGTCAACCCTCAATAGTATTTTTAACACTGGAGAGATGGGAAAATTCTACCGCAAATGGCTGCTCATTCAGTGCCCAACATTACGGTAAAGTATGTTGATCTTTGCTTCAATGGTCCAGACATTCAGTTGGAGGACAGAAATGCAGTCTTACAAAACTCAATCTTATGAAAAGCTCTGATTTGTCTGAATGTGACAAAGTCTCTAATTTACTTGTTCATCATTATGGCATTCTTTTCAATTCATCCTTCCAATGCCGGTTATTAGAGGCAATCACGTTGCAGAACAAGTAAAAGGAGGATATAGTCTCACAAAACAGGGTTCAATCTGTTGGGGAACACCACAGCTCTGATATCATTTGTTGGGCTAAAAGCCTCCAATCCAATCACACCAGTGGAAGCAAAATCAAACAATAAATCAAACAAACAAGAGACAACAATTTAACGTGGTTCGGTCCAACTGACCTACATCCACGGATGAGAAATAAGATCCACTAGTTGTAGAGAATTACAAACTTACATCAAATCATCAACCTTACTCAACAATCAATACTCATAAGACACTCTCAATCTCCTCTAGTCCTATGAAGTATTCTCAACCCAAACAAACACAAACCTAAACCCTTGTGCACCATTTCAACATAACCAAACACATACCCATATACTCCCATACATCATACCTATGTGGACCCTCTCAGTCTCCTCTAGTCTACTTACAAATAAACATACACACCCATAAGACGTAGAGCCCCAATACTCCTATAGGGTGTTTATCCCACAAAAATCTACAACTCTCTTACATCTTTTTCTTATACATAACCCTATAAAGATTTCACCTATTTATAACCATACAAATTTGTCTATTAAGAATCTCTTTCCTTTTAGAATTCTTCTCCTGTAAGTCAAACTTGACTATTAAGAATCTCTTTCCTTTTATAATTCTTCTCTTTCAAGTCAAACTTACCTATTAAGAATCCTCTTTCTCTTAAAATTCTTCTTTTGCAAGTCTTCTTATTTATCCAACAATATCTAACAAATCTCAAACAAATCTCTAATGGAATTTGAGCCCATGTTCCCAACACAATCGTCAACCTTGATTGAAATGTAACGTCCAACAAGATAAAAATTCTCGATTGCGGTTAATTTATTATGACTAATCGCAAAATCAAGTTGCGATTGATGTTTTTGTTTTGGACAAAACACAATGAATGTATTGATGAAAAAGCAATTGTAACAGTCACAATAACACCAAAAAAACTTGGATCACAGAATCCAGTCAATGGCGGTGCATTGTCCCAGCTCGAAAAGCTCATCCCATGTCTTGCCTGGACAGCAATGCAGTCTGCAGCCCTATTTGCTGTACGACTAACACAACTCAACTTTACTCCTTCAAACTTCTTCATATAGGCCTTGATAACAGTTACCATTGGCTGGATATTCCAATCAGAACATGGCAGTGCTTCATTGACACTCCATTACAATACTTCAGAATCAGTCTCAATTACCACCATTTGGAATTTGCAATCATAAGCCATTTTTACTACTGCATTTCTAACAACGATGGAAGTGTTATATAGTGTAGAGTTTTATAATAAAATGATTTTTTTTTTTGTTGAATAAAGTTTTAAAAAAGTTGCAGTACTCACTTCTTGTAGTAAGTAGGTTCTTTTTTGTTTTCTATATTTTGCAAGCAACTAATAGAATATGTTTAAAGAAAATAAAGGCATCTATCGTAGGATCGAATTATCGTATAAAGCTGATCAAAGCTTACTTGATATTAAACTTGTTAAATGTGTTAAAGTAAAAAAAAATGAATTGGACTTTAACTCCAAAATTCAAGATCTGAATCCAATATGCCCATTTTTAATTATATAATATATATTATATAAATAATAAATACATATATAATATTATAATGTAAACATTAAAAAATATGTTAAATTATTCATAGTTTAAACTTAATAAAAATAAAATACTAAAGATTAAATAAAAATATCATATTTTTAGTTTTTTAGAAAAAAATAATTCGGATGGGTCTAGGTTGTATCAATTAATATTTTTTAATAATTTTGATGGACTTGGCATAATTTAATGCTTGAATTATTGGATAAGTTGGACTTGGGCAAGCATGTACAATGATAATATCATATTAGTTCCGGTTCAGTGCAGTTCATTGGCACATCTACTTCAGAATTCTTCAGAAAAAAAATTCACTTCTCTTTGTTTTTTTATTGATTACAATTGCAAGTAAAAATTTTTATTACAAACTACATAATCACATATTATATTTACAGAAGAAATTAATAAACAAACAAATTAATTAATAAAATAAATCAACATAAAATTAAACAAATTGCCTACATGTGATAAAACTTGAACCCTAAAACTTAAAAATTTCAGAGTTTCCTCTTTTCTATTAAGCCAATATAACGTTCGCCTTTATTTGTTGTTTAATTGACGAGAAAACAATGAAAAAAAATCGACAGCCATTTATCCCTTGACACTATTTATCTATGTTTGTTTTATCGATGTTTGTTTTATCAAACTTGGTAAAATAATTTTAGTGTTTCACTTATACTAAGTTTGTGGATTATAAATAATTTAATTATAGTTTTAATGTTATTAAATATCTTTTACTTTATTTTTTTGTTTATATGAAAACATATTATGTTATGATTATAAATAAATTAATATTAATAATTGAAAATATAATTTTGAAAAAAATTTACTAACGTCTTAATATTTATACTGATACATTTGATCATTGGAATATTTCAAGCAATATTAATAGTAACCAAAATATAATAAAAAAATTAAAACATATAAGTCTGTACTGACAATTTCTAATCATTGGTAAAGGTAAAAAAATTAAAGTATATAATTCTATACTGACAGTTTTTAACCATCGATGTAAGTAAGAAAATTAAAAAAATATAAAACTATACTGACGAATGTTAAGCGTTGGTATAGGTAAGAAAAATTACAAGTCTATGCTGACAGGCGTTAACCGTTGGTATAGGTCAAAAAAATTAAAACATATAAATTTATACTGACAGACGCTAACCTTCGATATAGCTGAGAAAATTAAAACATACAAATCTATACTAACGATTGTCATAATGTCTAGATCCGAGGATCTATCGCTAGACATTGACTTAAGGAGTTGCCACCAATCTTTTTTATCTAGGTGTGATTGGTCACCTAATAAATCTATCTTTTTAAGGAACACCTAAGCTTAAGGGTCCCTAAAAGAATAGGTTCATGTCTACTAACCAGAACATGGTTTGGGAGTTCAGTTACGTGTGAGGAAGGTTATAGCACCCTCACAACGCCCATCGAAAGATGGTACCAGCTTAATTTTGTGTCATCCAATAAGCTTTAAAAATTTACCAAGTAATTAATTATTGAAAATTGTTCTCAATTGACTCTAATACTTTTAGCAGAAAATTGAAAAAATTCCCTCACCTCAAGAGTATGCAAGAAAACTACTGTTCCACTTGCAGAGGCTCCATCGTCGGATTATTTAACATTAAAAAAAATCCAAGAAAATAAAAAAGAAAAGAAATAAAACAAAAAAGAAGAAAAAAATGATTCATTTTTAGATACAAATATTTTTCTCTTAAAAAATTCATTGCTTTTGTACAAGGAAAATTGATACTTTCAACTTTTCCTAAAAAAAAAAACCTTTTTTTTTTTAAAAAAACTTATTTTTAAGAAAAATTGATACTTTCAACTTTTCCTCAGAAATATTTTTTAGAAAAACTTATTTTCAAGAAAAATTGATACTTTCAACTTTTCCTCAAAAATATTTTTTAGAAAGCTTATTTTCAAGGAAAATTAATACTTTCAACTTTTCCTCAAAATATTTTTTAGAAAAACTTATTTTCAAGGAAAATTGATACTTTCAACTTTTCCTTAAAAATATATATTTTTTAATTTTATTTAAAGAAATAAAAATAAAAATAAAAATAAAGATAAAAATAGAATAAAATAAAATAAAAAATACTAAATAATTCTAATCTAATCAACAAATAATAATAATAATAATAAATAAATAAATAATGAAACAAAAAACCTAGGAACGGCTCGGCTTAGCGGCTCGGCTTAGCGGCTCGGCTCGACTCGGCTTGAGGAAGAAAAATGGCTTGGAGACATGGTTCGAGTGTAGGCGGCTCGGCTCGGCTCAACTTCGCACTTGAGTCACACGCGGGTCACACGTGGGTTGGTGCTCGGGTCAGGTCAGATATTGGCAAAACGCGTGGATCCTGTGGGTTTATTAACACAAAAACAACGTCATTTTAGGGAGGGTATATAAGGCTGAAGGTCTTTTTTTTTTTTCAGAATTCCCTTCTCCTCTTCTCTCTTTTCCCTTTTTTTTTCTCTCCCCTTTCTCTAAACAGACAAAGAACTCCGGTTGAATCTCATTGAATTTTGAAAATTTTCGTCGGAATCTAGGTTTTTTATCGGAAGTTCACCGAAAAGCTGGTCGATTTTTGGAAATGGTCGTCGAAAACTAGGTAGCTGGCCGAAAAATTCAACTGGAATCTGGAAATTTTCCAGAAAAAAATTCGCCAAAATTTTTAAAAAATCCTGAAATTGCTTCTGACCCTTCTGGACGCCTTTTTCTTTCTCTTTTCACTCTCTCTCAGTTAATGTCTGTCTTTTTTGTGTTCCAGTCTTTGTAATTCGTGGATCTATTTATAGGGATTAATCAGAAAAGTTTCTGATCAATCCCAACTCCTCCTTGGATTGGGATTCAATCTTTGAATCCAATATGAACTCTGATTGAATCCTAAATTCACGGTAGAATTCCCAATTTCCATCCCAATCTCAGTCGAGTAAAAAGAAAATAAAATCAAATAAATTAAAAGAAAATGTTAATAGATAATTAAAAGAAAATAATTAGATAAATAAAAATATTAATAGATAAATAAAAATAATAATAGATAAATAATAATATACAAATAGATAAATAATAATAAATACATATATATTAACAGATAAATAATAAAAAATATATATTAATAAATAGTAATAATAAATAAATAAATAATAAATACACAAGATACAAAATAAATAAATAAATAAATATAAATATAAATATAAAATACAAAAATATAAAATATAAAGTGAGCTTATCCATTTGGACCATGCCCAATTGATCCGGGCCTGGACCAAATTGGGTGTCTACAGCTACCCATCTTTGCACATTTTATGTGAAACAGAAATTACGTAAAGATGTAGACACCCATTCAAGACTCCACTCGACTTTTTTTTTTCATTTTCTTGTATTAAAAATTTGATCAAAACTCCTCTAAGCAGAGGCTCAATGACTTTGAAAAACATAAACAAAGCTCCTCTAATCAGAGGTTCAATGACTTTGAAAAACCTAAACAAAGCTCCTCTAATCAGAGGTTCAATGACTTTGAAAAACCTAAACAAAGCTCCTCTAATCAGAGGCTCAATGACTTTTGGAAAGTAAATTACTCCTCTAAACAGAGGCATCACAACTTCAAAGAATAGATTGCTCCTCTAATCAGAGGCATCACAACTTTGAAAAATAAATTGCTCCTTGACAATCATGTCCAAAGGAGATGAAAATCGTGTTTGAAGGAATTTTAGGAGATTATGCCCAAAGGTCTTACAAATCAACCCTGATACCGAGAGACATCCTATTTCAAGGATTAGAAACTTACCTGACAAGCTTTTTCTCAAATTTGAAAATGTCTTCACATCCGTCTTCTCTATGTGGGATGTTGGAATACCCCTACTTCTTGAATTTGTGCACTATATTTTCTTGAATGTAGTATATGCTATGCAATGCATGTGAAATTCAATGTATGCTATGCAAATGTTAGCTAATTGATTCCTATTCAATTGTAGTACTCAAGTTTCTCAAGCTCTTTTCTCGGGCATCACCCTTTATTCTTCAAAGATTAAATTACGTTGCTCTTCTAAGATCGAGCTAGTGTAGCTCTCAAACATCTATTCCACTCACATTCTTCCTGTAAGAAATCTCTTTTCAAATTCAATGTCCTTATTAGGAACTGAACATCTCGATTCTACCTTTATCACTCTTGACTTCTTTAATGTAATGTAAAAATCTTTCATGCCATTATTCATTTATCAATCATTATTTCAAACTCAAAAAGTAAGAATGCATTTGCATATTTCTTCCATTGTAGAGTATTAAGAAGAAAATAATAAGAATGGTTGAGAAATTGTTAATAGAAGAGGTACACAAAGAGTGAAATAGAATATCTTTTATTAGCAAAATGTTGGCAAACTTTGGCCAAGAAAGAAATACAAGGATAAGTATGGGGAAACAAAACCCAAAAATGAACAATCGAACAATCATGATAACACATCTCAAGGTTTTTCTGAAAACCCAACCATCTGATGTACTTAACAACTTAGAGCTCCTCCGAATTTGCTAGTCTCCATGTCAACTAATTTTCAAATTTGATGCCGTATTCTCCTTATCTAAGCTGCCTTTTCAGGTTTTCAACTTAGATAAACCCCTTATGACTCAAACCGCCCTTTTAGGGTTTTCGCCTTGAGTCTTCCTTTTTCTTTCACTTTTTTTCCTTTTTTTTTTTTTTCATTTTTTCCCATTTTTTTCTTTTTTTTCAAGCATAATATTTCTTCACAGCATCATAATTTATAGGATAGGGTAAATCATCTCCATCCATCTCAGTCAGTATCAACGCTCCACCCGAGAAAGCTCGTTTCACCACATACGGCCCTTCCTAATTTGGAGTCCATTTTTCTCTATTATTGTGCTGGATTGGGAGGATTCTCTTCAATACTAACTTTTCTTCTCGAAAGTAACGGGGTTGAATCTTTTTATCATGAGCCCTCATCATTCTTCTTTGATATAGCTGACCATGGCACAATGCAGTCAATCTTTTTTTTTTTTTATGAAATTTATCTGTTCATAGCATTCTTGAATCCATTCAACTTCTTCCAACTCAACTTCTTTTAGAACCCTCAAGGATGAGATATCCACTTTCACTGGTAGTACAACTTCCACCCTATAAATCAAAAAAAATGAGGTTACCCCAATAGAGGAACGCATTGATGTTCGATATGCATGCAGTATAAATGGTAACTTCTCATATCAATCTTTTTAAGTCTCGATCATCTTCTCAAGAATCTTTTTTATGTTCTTGTTGGCTGCCTCAACTGCCCCATTCATTTTCTGATGGTATGGTGCCGAGTTATGATGCTTGATCTTATATTGAGCATATATTTCTTGCATCATCTTACTATTTAGATTCTTGACATTATCTAAAATAATTCTCTTTGAAAGTCCATATCTATAGATGATCTCTTTCTTTATGAACTTGCAAATTACAGATTATGTTACATTTGCATATGATGCTGCCTCCACCCATTTTGTGAAGTAATCTATCATCATAAAAATAAATCTATACCTGTTAGAAGCCTTTGGGGTGATAGGACCAATGACATCCATGCCCCACATTGAGAATGGCCAAGGTGGTGTCATAACATGTAAAGCAGATGGCGGAGCATGGATCTTATCAGCATATATCTAGCATTTATGGCATTTACGAGCATAGTCAATGCAATCACTCTCCATTGTTAACCGATAGTATCCTGTTCTCATGATTTGTCTCGTCATCATATGTCCATTGGCATGTGCCTCACATATTCCAGCATGTACCTCTTCAATCATTTTTTTTACTTCAGCCTTACTTACGCATCTTAGTAATACTTGATCACGACTTTTTTTGTACAAAACATTCTCATCCAGGAAAAAGCTCATAGCCAATCTTCGGATGACCCTTTTATCATTTTTTGTTGCTTGAACTGGGTATTGCTGATCCTTAATATACTGTAAGATATCATAATACCAGGGCTTCTCATTTTTCTCCTCTTCCAAATTGGAACAATGAACTGGCATATCCTTAACATCTAGCCTGATGGGCTGAATGTAAGTATTGTCATTAATTCGAATTATTGCACCAGAGTAGCCAATGCATCGGTAATTAGATTCTCTTCTCGAGATAAATGATCAAACTGAATATCTTCAAATTGTTTTACCAACTCTAGAATATACTTATGATATGGAACGAGTTTTGAATCTCTCATCTCTCATTCTCCTTTCAACTGATATATAACTAGAGTTGAGTCCCCAAACACTTTTAATGCTTTCATTCTTCTATCTATAGCAGCTTGTAAGCCTATGACACATGCCTCATATTCAGTAATATTATTTGTGTAATTAAAATTTAACCTTGCTGTTACAGGGCAATATTGTTTTTTTGGAGAAATCAAAATTACCCTAATTCCTTGTCCTAAGGCATCAATAGCTCCATCAAAATACATTCTCCAACACTTTTCTCCATGCTCCTCTTTCTCCAGTTGGCAAATAGTTATTAGATCTTCATAAGGGAATTCCAACCTCATTGGTTCATATTCTTCAGTAGCACGATCTACAAGGAACTCCATTATAACACCCCATTTTATTGTCTTTTGGCTCACATATATAATATCATATTTCGAGAGCATTATTTACCATCTAGCAATTCTTCCAGACAAAGAAGGCTTCTCGAAGATATATTTAATTGGATCTAGTTTTGCTATGAGCCATGTAGTATGATAGAGCATATACTGTCTGAGTCTTTTGGTAGTCCATGCTAATGCACAATACATTTTCTCCAATAAGGAATACTTGGATTCATACTCTGTGAACTTTTTACTCAAATAGTAAATAGCTCTCTCTTTTCGGCTAGACTCATCTTGTTACCCCAGCACACATCCCATTGAATTTTCACACCCTTTCAAGTATAAAATTAAAGGTTTCCCTGGAACAGATGGTACCAACACTAAAGGGTTTGACAAGTATTTCTTAATTTTATCAAAAGTCACTTGACATTCTTTATCCCATTTTTCAGGATTATTCTTGCGAAGAAGCTTAAATATGGGATCACATTTGTAGGTAAGCTGAGAGATAAATCAAAAAATGTAATTCAATCTTCCCAGAAAACCTTGAACTTCCTTTGGTGTACTCGGAGGTGACAAATTTTAAATGGCCCGTATCTTGTCTGGATCAACTTCAATTTCTCTTTCATTGACCACAAAGCCTAGTAACTTCCCTGACTTTACCCTAAAGGTGCACTTCGCTGGGTTTAACTTGACTCACAATCTCTTAAATAACTTTCTGAGGCTGGTGACATGATCTTTATTCTCACAAGATTTTACAATCATATCGTCTTCATACACCTCAATCTCTTTGTGCATCATGTCATGGAAGAGTGTTACTATGGCCCTTTGATAAATTGCCCTAGCATTCTTTAACCTAAAAAGTATGGTCATTTGAGTCTCTTCTATAACTTTCTTCTATAAAGAAACAATTTTATGCCACTCTCATATAAGTTCTTCTTGAAATCTAGTTGATTAGTATGCTATTTTCTACTACTACACTACCTATTTATAGAAACATAAAAAAAAAGTTGACAATTGAAATATTTTATATTACTTTCTTATTGTTACTACTTTACTCTTATAAGCAAGTTCTTCAAAAAAAAAAAAATTGACAATTGAAATATCTTTCATAATTTTTATTGTGTAAAACTTCTTGTGCATCGTCTTAAAAACATGACATTACTACTCTAAAGGATGTTTCACTCATACTTAATACTTGTGTGTCGCTTTAAGAATTTTTTTAAAAAAAAGCTCATTTTTTGTATTACTTTGACAAATGATTCTAAAAAAAAAAGATGTTTCTTATTCAATATCTTAAAATGTCTTATATTTATAATTTTCAAGAATTGCTTCTTTTATATTCTAACACAATATCATAAAAAAAATCATTTTTAAGAAATGCTTTACTAATCATTTTATTTCACACTATGAAATATTTCTTAAGAAGAGCATCTCATGTATAATTCTAAAAGTTTTTATCGTAAGAAAATTTTCATAAATCATCCTAATGAAGTGTTTTTCAAGTTCCACTCTAGAAGCATTTTTGACTTTTTCTTTCAGTGTACTCTCATGATATCATAATAAGTATTCCACATGCATTTTTCTAAAATTTGTTTCTTATTATTCACAAGAATTCTCAAAATATTCATGTGTAATTTTAAGAAATGCGTCTCATGAAACATTTCTCATTACCTATCATTTAAAAAAAAAGTATCTTTCATTCATGCTTCCATATTGAAACAATTTTTTCATCTAAATGATGATTCCTAAAAATAAATTTGTCATGTTGTTCCAAGAAGTATTTCGCTCATAATTTATGAGAAGTACATCTTTTGCATTCTTACAAAGAATGTTTCCTACATTTCAAGGGGTGATTGTCAAGAAACACATCTTATTTATTTATGTTAATTTGAACAAAATCTACCTAAGAAACGTTTGTTACCTAGCATAATTAAAAAAAAAAAAAGAAAGAAATTTCAACGTGCTACTTCAAAAGTCACTTCTTATGCACTATTTAAAATGTACTTAAAAGAAATTATGATGTACTAGCATGTTTTTCTTAGAATAACTTTTATATTGTTTCAAGAAATGTTTCCCAGCATTCAAAAAAATTTTTTTTTTTTAAAAGCATTCCTTGAGCACACTTCCAAGACATGTTTTTCATGAACTTTTCATTCATCATTCTTTTAAAAGTGATTCTCATACTTTAGTTTATGAACCTTTTCTCGTTATTAAAAAAAAATCCTAAACTATTAGCATATCATCTTAAAAATGATTCATGATTAGAACTATTTAAAAAAAAATCCAATTTGTCATGTGCCTTTTCAATAATATTATTCATTTTTTTAATTTCCTTGGATGAAAGATTCAATTTTTTATTTAAAAAAGAACTTTTACGCAGGGGAATACTATAAAAAGAACTTTTAACTATGCATTTTTAAGTATTTTTTAATTTTAACTTTTTTAAAAAAAATTCCTCGCCCATAGGGCATTCCGAGCACAAGGATGCTTGTGCATGGAATGTTGTTTTTACTCTTAAAAAAAATTAGACTTTTCATGTTTCACTTTTATTAGTTTCTTTAACTTTGACTCAAATGTGTGGCATCTAAAAAATTTACTTGCAACCATTAGGGGAAGGCAAATAAAGTGGATGTGAAACAAGACAAAAGAAATTGTAGCAAATGAGTATGACCTATCCTCATTCTTCTCACCTCTATATATAAGGCAGCCCTTTGCGTCTAAGGTAGGGCTTTACGACTAAACCAAAAAAAAATTTACAATACTTGCTAAAAAAATTAGCTATCTTGATTTATTTTTGAAAAATAAAACTGATTTTTATTATTTGTTCTCTTCTTTTTTTTAAAGAAATACTCTCATTACTTGTTCTTTTATTTTTTTGAAAAATATTCATATTACTCGTTTTCTCTTTTTTTTTAGAGAAATACTACCATTATTTAGTCCCTTATTTTTTAAGAAAACACTCTCATTACTTTTTTTCTTATTTTTTTTTTTATAAAATACTCATATTACTTGTTCTCTTATTTTTTTGGAGAAATACTATCATTACTTGTTATTCTAATTTTTAGGAAAATATTTGCATTACTTATTCTCATATTTTCTTAAGGGAAACAGTCATTATTTGTTGTCTTATTTTTTTTAGGAAAACACTCCCATTACTTATTCTCCTTTTTTTTTTAAGAAAATACTCCCATTACTTGTTATCCTATTTTCTTTAGGAAAACAATTTCATTACTTTTTTTAAGAGAAACACTAATGTTATGGTTTACACTTTTATACATTACCTTTATCACAAGTAATTCTTTCATTTATATTAAAATTTATTTATTTTATACATGAAACATTCTTTGATTTTTATCAAAGAAATTCCATGCAGTGGGCAATGAACTTGCTCATGCGCAATGTGCAGTAAAAATATATATATATTTGAATAAGGCATACAATACACTACTAAAAAAAGGGTTATTATCAATGGATTTTTATCAACGGAACAAAATTTATAGGTAATCCGTCACTAAAAGTTTGGCACAAACTATTGCCAATTTTATATTGATGAAAAATTCATCGCTAATAATTAACAATGGATTTACCAATTCAAAATCTGTTGCTAGAAAAATTGAATAAAATTTTTTTTTGACATTACTGACAGTTTTACTAATGAAAACATTCATCATTAAAAAAATTTAAAAAATTTTGGACTTTATTGAAAGAATTTTCATCCATAAAACAATTGGTAAAAGTCAAATTTTTTTTATTATCAACAAAAAATTCTATCAGTAAAATCATCACCAAAATAAAAAAAATTCAAAACCCTCCACCATTGGCCCCTCAACTTTGCCCCCAAATTCTCAAATCCCTAATTATCCCCTTCGCTCTCCCATTTTCTCCCTCTCCCCCTCCCTTTCTCCCTGTCGCCACCTTGCTGCCAGTGCCACGACCTTGTCCCTTAGCTATCTTTGGTGAGTTTTTTGTAAATGAGTTTATTTTATATTTTTTTTGTTGAGTTTATTTGTTGAGTTTAGGATTTTTTGCTATAAATTTGTTGACAATTTTTTGGGTTTTGGTTAATAATATGTTGAGTTTTTGTTAGTTAATTATTTGATGAAATTTATTTGGGTTTTGGTTTTATGTTTATTGAAATTTTTATTGGTTTTATGTTTGTTGAAATTTGTTTAGGTTTTGGTTATATATTTATTAAAATTTGTTGGTGATATGCTTTTATTGGATTTTTTGTTGAGTATTGTTAATTTTTGTTTAGATTTATTTTTAGTATTGGTTTTCGCATTTTTTTTTAATTTGTTGAGTTATTTATTTTTTTATTTGTGAAAGTTTTGTTGATATTTGTTAGGTTTTGTTATATATTTATTAACTTTCAGATATGTAATATTTAGGGTTGCTTAATTTGGGGTTTTAGTGCATTAATATTTATATATATTTGTATGGATGTTTTATATTTAATATTTTCTAGATTTTAATAATAATTATAGAAATTAAAATTATTTATATTGATTTGAGGTTATAATTTATATATCACTAATAGCTATATGATTTTGAAGTAAGTTATACATTATTAAGATTTATATTTGTTTTGAAATAATTTATATATTTGATAGTTTAGTGAAATTTATATATTACTAATTATTAAAATATTGTGGTTTGATTGTATTGATCAAATTAATATAAATAAATTATACATTTATTAACTTTTAGATGTGTAAGATTTAGGATTGGTTAATTTGCGTTTGATGTGTATTAATATTTATATATTTGTATGGATGTTTTATATTTAATATTTTCTAGATTTTAATAATAATTATATAAATAAAATTTATTCATATTGATTTGAGGTTATAACTTATATATTACTAGTAGCCAATGATCCTTTTGAAGTAAGTTATATATTATTAAGATTTATATTTGTTTTGAAAAAGTTTATATATTTGATAGTTTAGTGAAATTTATATATTACTAGTTATTGAAATATTGTGGTTTGATTATATTCGATG